AGGTAGGGATGATTTTAAGAAAATTTTAATTGACACACAGCTTCCAATATTTGGCTTTTAATTTGGTTTTATGGGGTTTTTTTGTTTTTTGATGTATTTTGTTTGTATCTGTTTTAATATGCTGTGCACCGCCCTGAGTCCTACGGGAGAAGGGCGGTATATAAATTAAATTATTAAATTATTAAATTAAATTAAATTATTAAATTAAATTAACTTCTAAAATTATAATAAAATACTATCTAATATTTGAAAAATGTCAAACTGTATGTTTGCTTCTATTATCAGTTCATTGTAAATGGAACAAGGAAAACAACTAAAAATATAAAATGCTAGGGCAAAGTATGGTAACAAACTGAAAGCAAAAAGTAAAGGCATTTTAAAATAAATTTTAAAATATTTGATTCTCAACCAATCTTTTATGGATAAATATGAAATTGGATATTTGGTTTGGGATTTTTTTCCACACTTTTCCTTGTGAATTCTTCTGGGTATCTTTGCATCCAGTCTATGTTTAACATCTCCCCAGGATTTTCAATAATATTCAACTCTTGGGGCTATTAAGGCCATTCCAAAACTTTTTAGTCTTTCTTTCCTTTAACTATTTCGTGGTTGACTTGGAGATATGTTTAAGACCTTGTCTTGCTGAAACATCCAATCATTTTCAGCTTCAATATCCTTAATGATAATGGGATACTATTTTCTACTATATATTGATATTTAGTTGACATTCAGTTGACATGCGTAGTATATTTTGTGCTACTGCCTGTCACACAATCCTAAATCATAACAGAGCCAACAAAGTCATCTCTATGTTTAATACTTTGCCATATTGCTCTTTTCTTCAAACTTTTCACATTATTTTTCTTGAAATGTATATTTTGTGGCTGTGGCTGAGCTATTGTTTCTATTTCATCAGACTAAAGCACTTTGTTGCATCAGGCTTATCAAACGTTTTGGACAATTACTGGTTGTGGTTAAGTTTCGAGAAACGGTTTTCTTCTGATACTTCTCCCAGGAAAATTCATTATTGTATCAACAACATTGTACTGTGAATCTCTGTTCTGTTTTGTGAATATGACCAGATATCAGCAGTTCTAGCTGATATTTTTGTCTTACAGATTTTGCCTTGATTTCAAGAGTTCCATGTAACTTCCATTTCTTAATAATATTTCTCATTATTGACATTCTTCAATTTTCACCTGCTTGTAAGAGTAAAGTATCTTTATTTTCAAATGCCCAGGCAGCTGAGTTACAGGAGGAACCTACAGTTGTTGAAAGCACTCAAAACAAATGATAAAATAAGAGGTTAGCTCAGAGCATTTGCCATGGAATTGTCTTCACCTAATTGTAATCTTAATGAGTGAATTACTCCTTTCAGTCTTAATAACAGCTTTAATAATAACAACTTTATGTTAACAAAAAATTATGAGCTAATTCTACTTATTGTAATGCTATGTGCCTGTTGATGGCTGATTTGTCTGAATGCCAGGCTTCCAGGAATTCTCTAGCATTTTTAGACCTAGCTTGGTCTAGAATGCCCACAGTTTCCCAATTGAAACTATGCTGAAGTCTGGCCACGTGTGGTACAATTAAGGAGTCTTCATCATATCTTCTGTCTGCTATTTAGTATTCAAATAAGTAAGTAAAACAAGTAAAAATCTGACGTGTCTTTTTACTTCTTGATAAGTTAGGACAGATTGTTTCTAAATTTCTTTTTCTGCCCATTCAGCTGTGGGCTTCTCCCCCTTTTACTTGATTCCCTAGGTATCATCTCTTCTCTCCATCTTCCAAGGTTACAACTGGAATAGTGTCAAAAATTAAGTTCACTATTGTCTTGTTTATTGCAAATCAATAAACATCTGCACATAAATAATAAGATTAAATTTTCAGAAATACGTGATACTTAATACATCAATAAGAGGGAGTCAAGCTATTCTCCAAAGCACCTGAAGGCAGGACAAGAAGCAACGGATGGAAACTAACCAAAGAGAGAAGCAACCTAGAACTAAGGAGAAATTTCCTGACAGTCAGAACAATTAATCAGTGGAACAACCTGTCTCCAGAAGCTGTGAATGCTCCAACATTGGAAGTTTTTAAGAAGAGACTGGAAAGCCATTTGTCTGAAATGGTATAGGGTTTCCTGCCTGAGCAGGGGGTTGGACTAGAAGACCTCCAAGGTCCCTTCCAACTATTATTATTATTATTCATTAGACGTGAACCTCAGTCAACTGAACATTCAAATTGACTGGCGCTGATGGTTGACACGGGTTGCTGCCAACATACTAGGTATTATTATTATTGTTGTTGTTGTTGTTGTGGTGGTGGTGTTCTGTTATGATACAAAAAAAATAGGCCTAGAAGCTCTTCATTATTTCAATGTCATGTTTAACTTTGTACCATGCTGAGATTATATCAATTAAAACATACAGTTTGATCAGAAGTACAAATTACAGTTATTACAATCAAATTTTAAACATAATTATAAGAATGTATTTATTTATGTTGCTTCCTTGGCTGATTCTGAGTAATTTACAATTCAAAATAGTGAAAATATCAATAAAACCAATTAATCTTCATAATGCCCTGTATTGGCTAAACCAACAAACACCCAGTACACACACACACGGTAAGATGTTGGCTGTTTTCCTCTCCAAAATGGTTCTAACTGCATTCCTAGTTTTAACAGGGCATGGGTCATCCTGACCTCAGAAGACAAGCTGTTCCAGAGTGAGCAGATGATAACTGAAAATAGATATATTCAGCTTGACTTATATTCACTTAACAATATTAAAACCTTTTCATGTTATTATTAAATCAAAAGTATTATACATTGAATTTTAAAGGGTTTTGCAATAAAGTATACCTCCTCTAGCTCCTCCCCCACATCTGCTTTTGAGGATTGTTTAACACAGGAATAGCAACTAGATTTTTATCCAGTAAGATTTGAAAAAGGATACTGATTTCATTATCTCGTTGCTGCAAAAGATTCTTCAGTTTCTTTAACTCTTCATTGCCAATTACAGTATTAGCACTTTTATCTTCCTGAGCATCTGGTCCAAGTAATTGGTTGCCAGGAAGCTTTGCATCATTTACCAGTCTCTGTTGAATCAAAAACAATACAGTTATTTTAATTAGTAATTCATTCTTTCATTTTCTGTAAGGAGGAGATTTCACAAACTTGTAGTGCTACCATGGCAAGCCACTATAAAGATCTCCCTTATGAATCATCTAGTTTTAATAGCCTCATCTCTTTTAAACAAATCAGAATAATTTTCATGCACCATCTCCTTTGGTTAGCTATGCAGTCATCCTTCCTAAAATTCTGACTCTCTTTCCTCTAAGATTCAACTCCTGTTTCTTAAACTTAAAATTTTCTCTACTTGTTTTCCTGTAAATAAGATATACTGATTTTTTTAACAATAATTATGTCATTTGGCCTCAACAGTACTTTTAACATTTGCAAATATGCAGATTAATTTTCAGTTAATTACTTCATTTTTAAAACATATATCCGTATTAAAAAGTTTATTGCAAAACATGCTGTATGCTTGTATTCTGTGTAGATGCTAAGAGGCAATACTGATTTGTTGGCTCATAATCAAATAACAGCACACAAAAACTTTAAAGAAGGCTACAACCACAAATTGGAGAATAGTTATAAATTACTGTTTTTGTTAATATATCCTTTAAATTCTGTTTAGTGTGGCATATAAATTAGAATAAATTAAACTGCCTATGAAATTCCCATCCAATTGCCTTTTTCTATTTGGGGGGGGACTTCTTTACAAATAATTGAATAGTTATAAAATTATATCCAATATAAAGTATGTAGTGGTGGGATTCAAATATGTGAACAACCGGTTGTTTGTGTGGATGCTGCTTCTGAAAGTCCATTCTGGTCCTGGTCAACAAAAAATTAGCTACCCGTTCTGCCGAAGTGGTGAGAACCGGCTGAATTCCACCACTGAAAGTATGACTAAGCTAACTATGGAGTTGCTTTAGATAAAAGTTCCTGTCTAAATAAATAAATAATGGTGTATTTAAGAAGGAATACCCAGCAATTTAGGGATAAATACTTTGCACATTCTTTAAATTACAGTTTCCAACGGTTTTCAGGTACTAGTTATTAAATAAGCAAATCACATTTCACTGTTTTATACATAACAGGAAATCTTTTAAAACTATTAAGAACAAGGTCAATGCAAAAAGGAAGAGCATGTGAAGAAAAAAAATATCCTTATATTAATAACTCAAACATCACATGGAAAATCATGATTTTCTCATTTACAATATGTAAATTTCATTATTGCTACAAGAAAAACATAATTTATTTAATATATATATTAATTAGGCTCTAATTAGAAACACATACTTCCTCTTCTCTTTTAAAATTGCCTAATAAATCAAAATACATTACATTTGTTAACGTGTTAAAAACACAGTGCAAAATACCTTTAAATGGCTGAAACAGTATTTGATCTTCCGCATGTCAGCTCCAATTTCCAAAATATTTTCAGGATCAGTATCTTCCAAAAATTCTTTAACTTGCTCATCTAATCTAAATATACACGATAAAACAAACAAAATAAAGAGCTACCTTGAAGAAAATATATCACTCTTCAGAAAAACAAATTAAATATAAATACTAAACTCCAGATTTCTGCTGGTTTATCTCAGCTATGAACTTTCTGCAAGTGGAATTTCAGCAAAATGGGAAGCTGGAAAAGCAATATTTTAAAATGTATACCTTCTGTTTCAGTTCTTGAGGATTCTAGATCTTTGGAACAAACTTTTAGGATGCCAGTGGGAAGCAGAGTGGGGACATTAGTTAACAAAAATAGCTGCACTTTTCATTTTATCCCTGGGATTTTTTCTTTGGATCAAAAGTCACCTATGGATGGAAAGAACCTTTCTATCTGCAGGAAACAAACTCTGGCTCCAACACATAGAGAGCAAATTTACTGTTTATGTGCAGTGGTGAGATTCAAATATGTGAACAACTGGTTCTCTGTGTGGATGCCGCTTCTGGAAGTCCATTCTGGGTCTGGGCAACCAAAAATTAGCTACCGGTTCTGCTGAAGTGGTGCAAACCGGCTGAATCCCACCACTGCTTATGTCCCAAAAGCACATTAAGGGAGTGTTGTTTTTTTAAATCAAATGGAATATTTTTAAAATTAGCAATGTTCCATCCAATAAATTCCATCCAATGATATACCAAGTATATGTTTAACCAAAATAAAGTTATATTTTGTTCAATTAAACTTATTTATAATTAATGGTCCACAGAATGGAATCTTTAAGCACTTGAAAGTAATCCTGCTTAATAGTCTTGCATATATTGATGATTTTTAAAATTAATGTAGAGCCAAGAGAGGAACATGTGCACTGTAGAAGGCTGTCAGACTGTCAAGTAGGCCTTCCTGGAAGAGATGATCTCCTCAGGAGGCAGTAACATAATGAGCATAATTGATCTGGAAATAGGTCTTTTTCTGAAAACTTTATAAAGTATGAGAATGAGAGACTAGGATATTTGATGGAAATAATGTTCATTTCAGTCCATTTTGCAGAACTTGTGACTGAATTATTTTGTTGGATATACTGACCTTTATCTATACCAGACATATCAAACTCACGATGTCACGTGACATCGCGCAACGTATCGGGACAGTTTTGCCATTGTCGGCAATGGGGTGGGCGCAGCTTCCGGATGATGCGTCCGGTCCGCGGGCAAGCAGTTTGACACCCCTGATCTATACTAAGACCATTCTTCTAGTCTGCCTCTACTTGTAAGTAATTTAGTAGATTTTAGATTTGTACCTAAGAGTTGGCTTGAATAACTGTTTGGCTGTAGTGTTTGTACATGGCTAATGTGATGGATTTTGGTCTTCAATATCTGACTAGGAATATTATATTTAAAACAGTCAATAAGTTAGATTTAACTAATTTGTAAAGGAATTTTGGAAGCTCTCACTTTGACTTAAGTGTAAACTATTAGTCATTCATAGCTGCTCTTCCTTTTTTATTACAGAACCCTGAGACATCATGTCATATACAGTACAAGGTTCACTATATGTACTGTATGTCCACTCCCATCAGCTATAGTCTTCAAAACACATGAAGCAAACGTCAAAGAGATAAAAATAGTGGCCTGCAAAAAAGCTATTTTATACTGTAATATTGTTTTTCAGTATCTGATGAATTAATAGGAAATATTTCAGGTTGCTTGGTAAAAAAATCTTTGTTTTAAGCTCCTACGATCAAATGTAGCAAGAAAAGGAAGATATTCTATTCAAAATGTTTTCTTTTGGAATCCTTGAACTCAAAAATAAATGTCTTTCTGAATAAGCCTTATCACTTCTGATCTAACTGAATTAGTGATATATGAAGGACTAATATCTAACTGACATAATAAAAAAACAACTTGTGAAATCTTTCAACTTGTGAAAGGTAGTAAAATTGCTATCTTTGGGTATTTCTGAATTAATTTGTACGTTCCAAGAACCTGTTACTTTCATAACTATGCTATGGTATTTATAAAGATTAATTTGTTCAGTTTTATTTCAGCATAGTTATATGTACTAAACTTTCAACTACTTCTTTTGAAATATAATAATATTAAATATAATAAAATATCTCTTAATTTGAAGTATTAGTTGAAACTAAATTCTACTAGGATGTCCATGCTTATTATGCAAATGAAAAAAATATATTTCAGAATTAGATGACATAAAGAAAGCCAAATAATACTCTAGCAGCTCTTCTTTTGAGAGTTCTTCAAGTCTTTGTTCTCCAGTCACCATGGCCAATTCATTTTTTAATTCCTGGATTTCCTTCTTCAGACGCATAATCATCTGGAAATATAAAGTGGATCAACCAATTAACAATGAATGTATGATTTAGAAGTCGTGATGCTCTTTTCTATATAAACCAAATAGCTAATTTTTATATTCCCCCCCCAAAAAAGAAATTTAAACTTTTTTCATTTTCTTTTATAGAAATGAAATAGTTCCGTGAACTTAAATAACGGCATGCTTTGGAAAAATAAATGAATTGTGATTTGGAGGAAGAGAAACCGGTAAACAGTGGTAAACACTGGACAATTGAGATTCAATTCTTTACTGGTTTAGCATTTTGAATTTGTATTCATAGCATAGCTACATAGTTCTGGATTAGTTACAGGCAATATGTTTTCACCATCTTTATTCTCTAGGGGAGGGCAATATTCTCAATATATATCTGGAAAAAAGTTCTACTGAATATACAAGAGCTTACTTTCAAGTTAAACATAGCTACACTACATATATCACTACATACAACTATTCTACAGAACTTCAAAAGGTAAAATCAAACTTATTGCTTAATATTAGTGATTGAAAATATGATGCATTAGATCCCTCTGTATGTTTAAGAAAATATTTAGTCATTGTTAATAATAGTGCAATTTAGTTATTATTAATAATAATACTACACTATGTAAGTTGCATCAAGTTCGCAATATTTTTAATCACTTGTGACAAATAGGCCTCCACTACCATATTCAGGAGACAGAATGAATAACAATATTAGGAATAATTATTTCATGGACATCACTGTCATGGTATATACTGTTATCAAAAAGAGTCACTGAGCAGCCTTACCAATCCAGGATCAATTTCTTCATTTAGAACAGCTTCATTTTTAATAACAGCAACTCGCTGAGCAAATCTACAGGTTGATATAGATTCCTAAAAGGGAACAAAAAATCTTAACAAATAGGTTTTCTACAATATAAGAATCAAAGCAACAATCTTTAAAATGGTCTTAACATACTTTAACAAAAATGAATGCCAAACAAATTATATATTGATAAAAATACTTTCAGTCTATTATATCTGAGGACTGAATTAGATAACATGGCATGTATCATTTGCAAGCAAAACTAGCAGCCCCATATCCACTCCCATATTTCTCCATAAAATTAAATTATTATGACATTTATTTTTTGTGTTGACTAATTAATAGGCTGACGCTAATGAAGAACACAAAATTGATCATACTATAGATTTCAATGACTAAAGAGTAAAGATGTAAAAGCAAAGGACTTGTAGATGAGGTTCAGTATTCAGCAATAAATCAATATTTGGTATTATATTTTAGTTACTGTAAACATTATTTTAAAATTATAATTATGTGCATGACTGATGCTAAATTATTTTATAATAAATCAGCAGTGATATAAAGTGCAATGTAAGACATAGGCCCTTAATGATGTATTTTCATTTTTTTTAAAGATCTCATAAAATCTTAAATTCCATTAACTTTATGTATCTATCTCTAGTTTCAAAACTAATTAACTCTTTTTTAACTTCAGTCATATTTTCTTTTTAATTTGCTAATGATCCACTAGCATGTGGTTTATACCAACATTACCTATTAATTGTATAAACAAGTTATTAACTAGTTTTAAAATATATTTTATTCTGCTTCAATGTTGCTAAGGAATTTAGTTACATTTCTATCATGGTTAATTTTTTTAAAACAACAATGCCATAAGACTATTATTTATTATGTGAATTAAGATACATTCAGACTGACTGTTAGTATGTACTGAATATAATAAAATGAGCTGTATTGTAATCATCCACAAAATGACTTTTACTACTTATTATGACCTGATCTGATATTAAATATAATGAAAAAGAATTTTTTTTTATCCAAATCTCATCACAGAATCTGAAGCAATCTTCAGAAAAAAGATCAACTTGTCTTCCATTTAAAATTTTCTTCCATCTGTAGGCCTCTGATAAGTGAAGGATACAAAATGCCTTGAACATTCAGTACAACCATATGGCAAAATATTGCATTATTCAGAGCTCCCTATTAACCTTCAGGTACTTCAGGTAACAATAAAGGTAGAAGTCACAGGAGGGTAGAGGGGAGAAAATTGAAAGGGTGAATAAATTCAAGATTTATTTATATATATTTTTATTAGAGGGCTTTCATTTTTTTTCCTTTTCTACTTTTTTTTAATGTCTAGTTCTGCACTCCTAATAGCCAAATCCTTAAAAATGGAGAAAAAAACTATTCTAAGAATGCTACGTCACTGTCAGAGTTTAATCATACTGCATCAGTTATGCAATGAATTTTGAGCATAAAAATTGTTATATTAATATAAAACCAAACTGAGAATGGAAAATGGGAAAACGTACATCTATGTTCCTTTTTTCTATTGAGAGTGTTGCAATCATTGTTGTCATGCAATTCCCTCCCAGGCTGTCTCTTAGCACTGAAGTCATCATAGAGTTTCTGTAGGGGATGTGAGATCTGTTTTTTTCTGACAGAGCAATGATTACCTGCAATATAGGTAATAAGTAGAAAAGCTTATTAAGCTCTGATATCTTGCTTTTGATTACTTAAGACAAGTCTTATTAAAAAAAATGCATTAAAATTTCGAATTTTCATACAATTGCAGTAAACTTAGTGCAAGAAGAACAATATAGAAACTGCAGACACACACACACACACACACACAGACCCTTCTAGTGCTGGCGATTATGATTAGGCACAATCACTTCATTGTTTTATAACAAAAGTAGACAAAAAACAATTACTTTGACTTGCTGAATGTTTTCAGGAAGCATAATGCTCTGTTTGACAATGGAACTGAAAAGACTGACAAGAGCACAATAGTGAAGAAAGTACTACAGCACATCTACTTCCACAATTATGCATCTTCCAGACTTCATCCATCTTAACACCATATTTGAAGATCAGGATGAGACAGTATAACTTTGTTATATTTTTTAGTCACTGAAGACCCCAGGCAGCATGATTAGTCATGCAATTATCTTCCTAGATTGATCAAATTCAATTTTTTGTGCTTGGGATATTTGGGATCAACCCTTTCCCTCCCAGAGCCAGCACCTTGGAAGTTATGACCATCTGATTTGGAAAATATCTTCACTGACGGTGGATTATCATTTATTTTGCCACAAAGCATATGTGTCTCATACTGCATTCTCCCTTCCTGTCTATTTCCCCCTTCCCATCTCTGCCCTTTTGGCTGCCCAATTGTCATCTCTGCCAATTGCATTTTGCCCAAATCACATGTGTAACTTTGAAGGGTCACTGAACAATGGTAGTTAAGCGAGAACTACCTGTACATAAAATTACCATTATTAAATTTCATTATGTGCTATTAAACTGATCTCTAAATAAGAAGATCTATCAAATGGTACAATATATTAAAGTACAGTACAGACATTTTGTCACAGAGTAGCTACATCGTGTTCCATGTCTAAATCAAAATTCAATGGTTCAAATGCCAAGTGCAAGAGAACATGAATATTATAAAACAATACAAGAAATGGAAACTGGATCAACTTTACCTGTTCCAAATAATGTAGAGACAGATTGATGTATTTGGCCTCTGTCAGTTGCTGGCCTCCAACTCCAGTCTTTCCAACACGCTCTGAACCAGCCAGGTCCACTAAGTGTAGTTTGGAACGCCGAATGGTTGCTGATCCTGGTTCTTTGCTTGAGATATGAATGGTGAAAATGCAATGTGAACGTGTGGAGGCTTGATTCATTGGAGTCTGTGAGAGAAAGGATTTCCTAAGCCTTACTTTTTAATTCTCAGTCTAAATGCTACTGATCATTTAGAAATGAAAAGTGGTTTAAGTTAAAACAGATCATAATGATATTTTGAAACTTATTTGGTCCAACCCAAAGATGCCATAATAATTCCATTTACAATGGGCTGTATTGGAGGAAGGAAAAAAAATGACTGATTCATCTGTCCTACTACATATCTCTATAAAAGTTTAAGAGAGTTCTTCAATCAAAACAAAAACATTGTAAATCATGCAACATGACTGCCCATAGTGCACAAATGGCTATAAATGCAGTCCAAGTGCTCAAAATGCAATCACATGACCATGGAGTGAGGGGATATTGGAAGTTAAAAACCAGTTCATAAGTAGCTTTGGGGGTGATTATAACTTTGAATGGTCATTTAATAACCGGTTGTAAGTTAAGGACTACCTGAATAGGACCAGAACTGTGTAGTTACCGATATACCAGTTATTTGTAACAGATTTGTGTAATATTATGACACCAAGAGATTCATCTTCAATTCCTTTTCACTGAGTCCTTATACAAAATTTATCTTCTCAATAGTTACATGCAAACTCAGTATTAGTTAACTGAGTATTCACTTTCATTCTCTTTTTTTTTTTACCCTTGTATATCACTTAACATTTGATGACAGAGAAATGCATTCACTCTTTCAATTTAAACCTCCCAATTGGGAGAAACTTTTGTTCGAAATAATATGGTATCATCAGCAACCTGATGCCCTCCGCATCATATCTAAAATCAGCATATTTATGAAAAAATTGTTAGTTTTGGTGGTAAAATACTCTATATACTAAAATGTACAGAATACATAGATAGTACACTCACAGATGAAAAAGTAGATAAAAAAGAACTATTGCTTTCATCTTTAAATATTTAAAATGTTTGCATTCATTAAATCTGCCAAGAATATTTGCTCTAGGCACTTTCCAAACACAAATAGCTAAACAAATACAACATACTGTAGATATATGTCTTCCCAAACTGAAGGAATAGAGAAGCACTGCAATAAAGTGTTTTATTGAAACATTTCCTCTCATTAAAACAGTCTAAGTTTGCATTAAAAGGAAAAAAATTAACTGCAGGGTGGCTTTGATTTAATTTCCTAAAAATAAAATTTCTGAGTTATTTGTCTCCATATTTTGAGTCAATATTTTATTTTGTTGTTAGTTTTGTTATTGTTAAAAGATAATAAAATACAGTCTTTCATGTTGATAGACTTAACACTATTTTGACCGTATGGTAAAGAGATCAAAAACGACACTCTTTGATTTACATCCATTTCATTTTTATTGGCTGAACATAAAAGAATGTGAAATTGGGTTACATTCAATGTGATAGAAGTTTCCCAGTCTCAACAAATCACTGAGTTGTGAAGTGAAGTGATAGCAAGAAAACATGACTATAAAGTATGTTTTGAATCATAATAAAGGTGGGATATAACTAAAATAAAAATAAATAAAAAGAAGGTCATATTCTTGATTATTAAATCTATCAGAATGGTATATACAGTCTGCTTTCTCTTAAGCTTTCAGAAAAAAAAGATTCACAAATGTTACATTACATCATGTACGATGTACAAAATTATATTTGTCTTCCACCACGATTTCCTATTGTGAGGCAGAATTTCTCTATTTTTATACAGTGTATATCCTGTGTGGTGTTTCTGGTTACACCTAAAAAAATCTTAAATGATCCTAAATTTGCTATTTCTGAATTTGTACATCAGCCTGAAATTTAATTAGCAAAGCCAAATACAGAAAGGCACGATCAAAGAAATGAAAATAGAATTCCTTTCTAGGAATAACAATTCCTCATAAGAAAGAAGAGTTAGTCCTCAGAATTGCCATATTGCAAAGTGATTTGTAAAGGGCTGCTTTTATGAATAAACGAAAATATTTCTTTGCCATTCTAAAGTCTTACAATTTAATAATGAAAGAGTTATTCTCCTTACTGAATAGTAAGATTTCAGATCCTTTAAGAATTCCCATTATTACTAGAAAACCTGCAACAAAGATTTTTCTTGGACAGATGGAAAGACACATAAACTTATTATTTGCTTCCTCATTACTTAGCTTCAAAAAACTTTTCTTTCACTATATGCTATTGTTTCATGTCATATTAAAAAATGAAGAAGCAGTTTAATGCGCAGATAAATCCCCATCTACTTTGAGTTTCACATTTGTTCAACTGAGATTAAGACCTAGGCATATGTTTGTTATGCTTTGTGTTGCAACACATACAAATTCAGAGGAAGGCAGTAAAGATGAGCAGGAAACTGACTATTAAGTCTTATGAGGAGAGACTGAGAAAAATGGAAATATCTAGTTTCAAGAAACATGACGATGGATTTAACAGTACAATATTCTTTAAATACCAGAAGAGATGTTACATTCAGGGCTGCCATGGGGAAAAAAAGCCAAGGGAAACAACTGTCCAGCTCCCTTTGGTTAGCTTCAATTTGAATGAAGCTACCCAGAAATTCAGCACACCACAATTAAAAATGAATCATTATGAAATGACACAATTAAAGCCATTTCCAACAACAGATTTCCAGTAGAAGTTTCTGAAAGTTACAGGTCTTGGGCTTAATTTCAGTGCCTTTTCCATCACTTAATGGACGTCCCACATTATGCTTTCCAAGGGCCAAGAGGGGAGAGATATTCATTGACATTCTCCAAATTCCTGTCTTGGGGAACTCTAGCTGACATGTCTCCCACAAAAACTTAATTTGGGAAGNGAAGACATGATTTCTCTGCCAAAGTACCTTTCTTGTCACATATAGATTCTTCTAATATAAAGTGTATAATATGTGTATAATATGATTTACACTGGATTCACAAATTCAATTAAATATTTAAATATATTTAGAAGTAAAAGAAAAACAATGATACTTTAAGAACAAAAATTAGCTCATGAAGATACAATAAATTTGACTGAAATTTCTGAATAGATGGCTAGAAAGTAGCACTCAGAATTCTATGTAAGATAGGTGATTATATACATATTTTAAATAAATAAACAAACAGATATTTTACTATAAAGCTTTTTGATGATGACAGAATAAGAAATGTTCATAACATGCTCACTTCTGCAATCATCCTGTTTGTGTCACCTAAGAAAAGCAGATTCAGGGCTTCTTCTTCATTGGTTGCTTGCTGCAAAGAGAGATGTTTCAGGTGAATGTTCTGATCAGGATCCTCCATTATTGTAACTTTTCTACATGAAAAAATTAAAAAAAGAAAAACTTGTATGGGTTTTAATTTTTAATGATAAATTACACAGGAATATTTATTCAAAAATTTTGCTAGTAAGTAAATGTACTACTTTCTTGATCATATACATACATACATCTCAAATGCTTTAAGGTTTATGTAACTCTAACTACTAACAGCAAGATTTCCCAGTAAATGAAATATATATTTTAGAATTACTTATTCTATTGAAGGAGAAAACTGAGTTGTTTAATATTAAAGAGATAAAACTGTAACATTAACAGTCTCCTTATACTCCCCTGCCCTATTCCAGATGATCAGGAAGATAAATCTTAATTTGTTGTTATAGTAAACAGGAAAACCAATTTTTTAAAAAATCTACTTTGCTAAACAATTTAGCAAAATGAGCTTGCTATCGGCTTGCTTAGACACTGGGTTGCCTGGCAGAAGAATTTAATGGAAAAAGGAACTCAATATGAGATATAATTCTTTAAAAAGCAAATATAAATTGGTATAATGAGTATAAGAACCATGGTGGCGCAGTGGTTAGAATGCAGTATTGCAGACTAATTCTGCCAACTGCCACAGTTCGATTCTGACTGGCTCAAGGTTAACTCAGCCTTCCATCCTTCCGAGGTTGGTAAAATGAGGACCCAGGTTGTTGGGGGGCAATATGCTGACTCTATAAACCTCTTACAGAGGGTTGTAAAGCACTAGGAAGCAGTATATAAGTCTAAGTGCTATTGCTATTATCACAGAAAATCCAATGAAGGAAAAAGATACTAAATGCCAGAGTGGCTGCATAAAAATCATAGGGCTATATTGGAAAATAAAGGACACATACAAAATGCAAAGATAATCCCTGAATCAAATTTGATGCTTGCATGTACATGGTTATGTAAGTTTTTTAGCAGCCGTACTGAAGGGCTTGCTATTGCCTTCTTCTAGGATGGATTTCTGGTTTTGTTTCTTTGTTTTGTTTTTAATTCCCAATTTAGTCTTCAGATTTGCGATTTCTTGGTAGTCTTTCAGCCAAATGACTACAGCCAGTGAGCCAATTGGGGAGTAATTTTTCAAAATAATTACATATTTTTTTTAATTTCTTTTCTATGCTCTGTGCATAGTCAGGTACTGCTACATATGTGTAGAAAATATAGGTCACATTACTGAAACATAAAAAGCATATTGATTTCAGTATTAAAATAGATAATTGTGGGAATTGTGGTACCTTTTGGGACCTGGAACAGTAAAGGCCACAATTTTTTCTAAAAGAAGTCCTCAGATGTTCCATTTCTTACAAGTTCTACAACTTGGCTGATACAACTGAAGAATTTACACAGCTCAACTTGGCTACTATTGTTTTATACAAATTCCACTTAGCTTTAAAAGGAATCTACAAATTCCATCCATTTAGCCAAATGGAAAACATTCTTTGTTTATATTTATAAAGAAAACAAATACCTTGCTTCTGCCTTCTCTATCATTATGAATAAATTAGCACTACTTTTCCACATCAAGATCCAAATTAGCATTAAAACATGGATACATTTTTACTTATAGAAAGAAACCAGAAATTACTAGAATAAAGCTATGTATACAACTGCAGTGTGAGGGATAAAATATTGGCTAGTACTAATGTTTCCAGTTAATATTTCTTTTTCAATCTTGACAAAGTGATCTTTTAAATAATATTTCCATCCAATATAGAGTATGTGGCAGTGAAAAGGGTTGTATTTACTGTACTATTACAATGTTCATATTCACACATATATTAATATATATTAATACATACAAATATACAAAAGTCTAGTAGTAACCTAGATTCCACTAGCAGTCTTTGTAGGCCAAAACTCTCTCTTTCTGCAAATGGTTACAAAACTGTTGAAGCATTACCCCAATATATAGCTGTGATTTTTTTTTTATTTGTCCATGAAAAATCTATAAAAAATACACTGTAGTCTTGAATTATTTATTGTAATTCTATTTATTTGATTCATAGTATACAATAACATTTGAAAGAAAAAATAGACATAAAATAAGCAGTACTATTTGCTATTGTAATGTCACAGAAACTTTGATAAAAAATTTAAATTTTAATTTCTGTTGATATGCAGACAGGCAAATATATACAGAGAAATATGTAGGGCACCTAAAGAGAACTGGAACTAGGAGAAAAGGAAAAAAAATATTCTAATTTTTACAAAGATTGCATTACTCACGGTAAGTCTTCAAGTTTGGAGGCTTCATGCCGTGGATCGAGCAGATCATAACCACACTCATTATAAATTTCTAAGTAAGAAATATGTGTGGTATATACTTTACTGCTATCCTGAATTAAAAGGAAAAAATTCAATAATCATATAAAATCTGGATTTTACCTACCTACGTTTATATTTTTACTTTAGTACTGTATAGGCTTGATGTTAGGATTTGTCTTCTCTATCTAGTTAGATATCTCCAGTATATACGTATCATCAGTAAACACCCATGCTGAGGAATTCCAGCAAGATAAAACACTAAAATACAATCCATCCTAATGATACTATGTTAAAATAAAATGAACTGAGCCATCATCAATAACCAATTAGTCTCAAAAGTAAAAAAAATGTCTCAAAAGTAAAAAAAGTATCAATAATTATAATAACAGATGATGAATCAACTCCCAAATGTTCTCCAGAAAACCTCCATTTTTATCGTACTTTAGAAAGCTAATAAAGTAGGGCCAATCTAATTTCTAAGGAGAGGCTCTAACCCTATAACCAATGCAATAACAGAAAGCAATTCCTTGTGGCCTCAGATCCCCTCACTTCACTGAAATAGGAACAACCAACAGCTTTACCAGAAACAAGTATAATACTGTATATAGATCAGTTCTGTTAGGGAAGCAGTCCTGTAAATAATTGGTGCCAAGTCATATATATTTATACATGCCAAAACCAGCATTTTGTATTGCATCTGGAATTGCAGGACCTACAGCACCAGTATTATATGTCCTTGGTGACTCATACCTGCCAGTAAGTAGGCTGCCACATTCTGTTCCAACAGCAGTTCCTGAGTGATCTTCAAAGGCAGCCCTGTGTAGAATGCCTTACGGTAGTTTGTATGAGTAGTAATGAGGATATGAGTTATTGTTGGGAAGTCCTTGAATTCCAAGTAAGATTGCTGGCCAAATGCTCACCTGGCCAGAGTCTCTATGTGGGAATGACCTTAGGGCACAGAGGGAAGAGCCACAGCCAAAGGAACACTCAGATAAGAAGCAGCTTAGCCTACAAAAGGAATGTGGGCATGGCATACTTCTTGGTAAAAATGATGTGGGAGAAATGTACTTTCAGACTTGCAAGATTTTGTTTATGTACCCTTACAATAAAGTAAAATTAGTTCATCTGGGTGTGTTTTCTGTCTTGCAAGACTACTCTAGGAGAGATCCAAACACACCTGCTCCTTCATATCAAGGGAGACTCAGATCTTCTGAGCTGTTGTAACTCAGGCAATAACTATACTACAGTTTTAAAGAAATGTCACATAAATTAGTATTAACCTATTTTAATACAAACTTTTGAGCAGGCGGCCAAACAAACTGAACGATGCCAGGCTGACTTAAAACTTTAAGCCAGCTTTCTGTGATACAATACCATTGCTGCATAAAGCAACACTTTGGAGTCCTTGGTGCTCTCTGAGCTGGGTTGTTTGTTTGTAAACATTTCATTACCCAACTAAATAACATCATTGGCTCTAATGAGTGCTAGTACTATTGTTGTTGTCTAGTCAGGTAATGTAGAAATATCTACAAGCAAAGGACTCCAGAGCTGCAGATATTCTCTTCTATTAAAATAACTTAGTTGCAACTTGACAATTTTTAGTCCTTTGATTTCCTGTTAAATATATAGAATCTTAATCTTCTTGAGGCTATAGAAAGCAACATGAAATCAAAATTTATTTATATAATTGTATATTTCTGTAAATAAGTTATTCTTAAATGAAAACAACAGAAACAATGACCTTTTGCAACCTCTGAAATATGTAAGAAAGGGTTCGTGGAATTATTCCCCGATCACTGTAACGTTCTGCTCCTCCAGTGATCGTAAAAGTCTTGCCACTGCCTGTTTGTCCATAGGCAAATATAGTTCCATTATAGCCAGACAGAGCACTGAAAATGGAGACAAAATGTGCATATGTGTAAATGTGTACATTTTTAATCTGTTCTTAATATTTTCTTTGATTTTTATTCTATGTATATTTGTACAAATCAAGGCAGCATACATAATTCTTCCTCCTTCTATTTCCCCCCAAATCCCTGTGAGGTGATTTGGGCGGAGAGACAGAACTGGCCAAAGGTCACCCAGCAGTCATGTGTTCTCCCAGTATCTTGTCTAGTACCTTAACCACTACATCAAACTGGCTCTCTTTTTTAAAGAAATAATCATTAAATGTTTTGTTGCTAAATAAAAAGTGATATTATATTTTCTTTAGCCAAGCAAACATTCCAAAAACAGTTTACAATTAAATACCAGGCATGCTGAGTACATTTGTTCATCATACTCAGTAAATATATTAGAGTTGCACAGTACTTCAGATTCAGTTCTGAAAAATGTGCTTTGGAGTATGCAGGGGTCACCCAAATGTGGCATCTGCTGGCACCTCCTTAAAGCAACTTACTGAAATCTTTTCCAGGATCATGCAGCCTCTGAAGATGGCGCAACAATCAAACTTGGCAAAGAACACGCCAGTCAAAAACTTGCAAACATAATCTACATCCATGATTAGATACATGTACCATAAAGTACCCTTTCTAAATTATTTCCAAAATATGCCCTGCCACGGTCACCTCTGATTCCTGGGGTATTCCTGAATTACAATTTCCATTAGATGGAACAATAGGGTGTGTTAGAAAACATAGCCCTGTGAGACCAAAGGTTCTAAAACTCAAAACGGACCACTTTAACATGGCATTTATAAAATTCCCAGATCTTTATATGGAAATGATAGATTTCTTTGCAAGCACTACTGTTGCTAGGAAAAGTTACCTAGTATATGTTTTTTCAATCATCTGTCAGTGAAGAACATAGGTTTGACAATATAATCAAGGAACAATTATCCTGTTCAGAACTTTGTCCAAATTTTATACAGACATTGTACCGGATTTACTCAGCTCAGAGCTAGCATATGTTATGTATAAGTGGAAAAAGTAATATTTATGTTTGTACTTCATATGAGAAGAGTTTTAAATAGGTCAGTCTTTAAAAAACAAAATCTTCTTTCCTAGGAGAATGGGGCCTTATACAAATCAACTGTTGTCTGGTGCCATGAAAAAGGCAAAGGCCTCCAACTCATTTATTTGGAAGCCTAAGCATTTGCCAGATGGCTCAGTGTAATCTACAATAGCAAAATGTCAAAGAAAAACATACAAGATGCCAAAGAAAGTCAGAACCACTCATAACAAAAATACCAGAATTTTCAGGGACATTTGTTTTCAGCCTGATTACTAGGCAAAGATTGTACCTTAGTTTGGAAGAAAGCTATTGCATATTGTCCAACAATATTGAATGGAATAGTTGCTGGTTATCTTTGGCTTAATCAGAACATAATCTTTTGGACTATTGCATTTCATTAATCAAATAGGGATATTTTTTTTTACTTCAAGCAATTTTATCTTTTTAGTCATAAACTCTGAACATTAAATCAGGAAAAAATTATGTTTCCCACATCAGATGATAAATCTAGTGGGCTATATCAGTTAGCATGATTTATCTAAATAAGTCTGAAGATGAACCTGAGCTACTTAAAGAGTTACCAGATATCTGAACAGGCAAAGGTGGACATGAACAGTTGGAAGAAGAACAAATGGTAGAGGGGGAAAGGGGGACACACTGTTTAACTTTCCTGGATCAGCAACAAAAATTACAGTGAAAAACTGGTGGAAAAAGAATTAGGCATAGACAGACTGATAGATATAGATATAGATAGATATAGATTTTCTAGCATCAACTGCAGGAATGAGTTATAGTCAGCTAGAGGCAAAAGCCTTCTGCTTGTAGCTGCTAACAGTCTTGTCAATTTCAAGAAAATGGAATGGGGAGTTACTAATCAACTCTAGTTACTTGTCAGAGCTGTGCTTGTTAACACGTGGTTAGCTCCTTTTGGAGAAACGCTGGGCTGCAGAGAAAAGCTGCTCAGGAAAAAAAATTGTTTATATATCATGAACAAATGAAACCACAGTACATACAGTGGAGCCTAACAACCATATGGATTAAGTAACCATATGGATTAAGTAACATTCCAGAGGTTCATAGTTAAATCATAAAGCTATTATAGTAAGTTTAATCTGGAAGTGATGAGACTACATTCATCTACTCTAGGAAAGGATAGTTTGTAAACTAGATAAAATTAGTAAAAACCACTTCTGTTACCACCATTAACCAACTATCCATCCACAGCAGACCTGGGCATTTCATGGCCCCTAGGCCACATCTGGCTCCTTGGCTGTCTTTTTCTAGCTCACAAGAGGTCAATCAAAAATTAGAAATCAAATGTAAGTAAGCATATACCATGGACACAATACAACTGCATTGCTTTTATTTTGAAGGTAATTGCTATTTTTTCCAGTGTACGTGCCTATGCACCTTCACAGCCCTACTTCAGATTGGCCCAGTTTCCCATGTGGCCCCTTGGAAAAATTAACGGCCATCCCTGATTTACAGTGACAAGTTAAGACTATTACCAAAGTGGAGTCCTGCTATTTTGGATTGGGGGGGGGGAGTAAAACCTTCTCAAAAGCAGGCTGCATGCTTTCCAGTTTTATCAAGCTTGTTTTTTTCTGGGTTAGAGTTTATTAATCCTATGTCATCTTAAAACTTTTTTCATTACTTATTCAGAACTACTAGATCCTAACGATTCCATGATGGAAATCAGAGGGAGAGGTAGGTATTATTTACAAACTATGATTATTCAAGAGTTATGCAGAACATTTGTCTCTTAACTCGACAAGTGAAAAAAAAAACACATTTTTGAGAGGACAGATTTGAAGCATTAACTCATTGGTTAATGAGTTCTCAAAACCTTCATTGAGAATCACTGACAACCAGAAACAAGGGGTAGGGGCTTGGGCGGCAGTATGGATTATTGCATTATTCAAAGTGCGTTTAATTTTTTATTTTTTTTAATTTTAATTTTAAGAGAAGACTGGGGTTTTTTTTTTCATTTCTTGGTGGGATTAGATGAACATTTACATGAACATGTCCTTGGGGTTAATGAAATAAGAGCAAATTGACTTGCCAACTTTCAGATTTTATAGATCCAGGAGAGATTTGTCAAAAACCAAGCAATTATGTTTTACGCATTCCAAAACACATGTGAAATCTCCCTAAACTTTATAGTAGATAATTATACAGTAGAATGTGAGATACAGGGTATAGTCCTCTCTAACCTAAGTGCCCTCCAAATGTATTCCCAGAAATTTCAGTAAAAAATATGTTGGCTGAGAAATTTTGGGAGCTAGTCCACCCATTTTGAGTGTACTCAGCTGGTATCAGATTTCACTCCAGGCACAACAATAAAAACCAGCTATCTAGAAACTGAATTCTACCTTGAGTAAAAGCAAAATTTTCACAGATTCAACATGGCTAAATAAGGTGCTTTACTGCTAAAAAGAACAACTACTGTACATAGGAATCAATATTTTTCATGTCAGGCCCAGAGTTTAAATCCTGACCTTTGTCTCCTTCCCCTGTGAGTCAACAGATTTTAGCTATTCCCCTCCCAGACTTGGGAGTTGTAAACATCTGTTTCATGTTTACATAATGGCTCTGCCTTTCCTCAAAATGACTGATTCCAACTCTAAAACCACCGGCCTTTATAGCTGGACAAAGCTGGTATTTCAAAAAATGAACACAAAATTTTTGATATAAGAACAATCGTCAAATATTTAGCTAGGGAAAAATTATTAACTTTAATATTACCTCTATTTTTGGACAGGGGAACTTTATGAAAATGGTTTATGTCGTAAACCTGTTCCAAGGCAAAAAACCTATTAAATTTCAGAAAAAGTTAAAGAATTGAAAATGAAGTTGGTGCTGTATTCACACCAAATTCATAGTAAGTGCAACTCAATAGATAAAGATGTTGTACAGTAACAGAGACTTGAATATCCAGCATCTTACCTAATAGATAAAAGATAGATAATATCAATCTATCAAGGTAGGCCAGATCAAGAGATTACAAGAACTGCTGGAACAATGTTGTTGTCAGGTATAAAATAATTTTAAAGTCCTGCCAGAATTTACCTCTACCCCCAGTCCAGAATCAAGGTGGGCTTATTTTGAATCGCTTTCTCATGATCTCTCCTTAATTAGGTGTGAACTATCATTTACTTTCGTCTTTATTATGTTTTAACAATTCTGCTAACAGTTCCTTCCTCCATCAATATTATCTCTACAATCCTCTACATCAGGGCTTTTCAACCGATGGTACACGTAACATCTGTGGTACTTTGGCACGTGGCAGGTGATATGCGACCATCCTAGAGAAGTGTAGTGGGGGAGGGGAATGAGCCAAAGCGACCCAAGCCTCAGGGAAAGGCAACTGCAGCTGCAGGACTGTCTGGGCTCTGCAGAAGCCCCAGGAGCCAGCAGGGCTCCAGTTGATTGGCTCCAGCTAATTGGCGCTTCCAGAAGGAGCACGGAGTGGAGGTGAACTAAAGAAAAAGGGGGAAGGAGAGGAGAGGATATAAAAGGAGGTGGTTTTGGTGGGAAAGGGGAAAAAAGACAACAGGGAAAGAGAAGGGGACGGAGAAGAAGCTGTGGAAGGAGAGCTCAGCATGCAGGTAGGAAACAGGGACAGGGAAGAAGCAGCAGCTGTTGCTGGAAGAAAAGGTCCCCTGGTTTGTTTTCTTCAGCTAGGAGAATGAAATCAGCACTGATGAAATGAAAAACCGGGAGACAAGCATGTCAGAAAGGAGGTGGGTTTATTTAGTTCTGGATCAGCTGGCAGCTTGATTGGGTTACCATAAGGATTTTTGTACAGTTTTTACAGCATTTTGTAATTCAGAGGCTCGTTTGTGTGCTTTGGTTATTGGAATATTTTAGTCTGTTTCAGAAGGGCTAGCAGTGAGTCCAAAGTGTTGCCTTCCGTAGGTTTAATCCCTTTAAATAA